ATTTAACAATGCAGACGCAAAAGATGAGTTTTCATTTCATTAGAAATATCACAGAAATATGTGACAACGATGGGGTAAAGCTTTTAATCGCTGTCATAGCTGCCATCGATTGACACCGAAAATGTTGAATTCTAGAGTGCAGTTATCGTTTTACTTTGTGCATCGCAAGCAATTTCGTTCACAATAGAAGATGTTTTTGTGCGAGCACAAGCATATTTCTGAGCAATCTTGGAGCCAGGAAACATCCGTCTGAAAAGTTGACCGGCGTGATCGGCAACGCTTAGCGGCACGTTGTGTTCGATGAGGAATCCAGTAAACAAACACTCTGGCAAAATGACATCAGCATCCGAATTCGTAGCCGAATTTGAAAAAAAAAAAAAACATCGACTTTCTTTGACGTTGTCGAAGCCGAAGCATTAACTTCATGCTTTTTTAGACTTAACATGCTTCACAATTTGCTTCTTCCACCGTGACTTATTATGAAGACACACACGCACGCGTTGCAAAATGCATAGTTATTTCCTTTGAAGGATTCTTTAATTGTTGGAAATTCGGCTTTGTAGGCAGGCCGAAAATATTGAGAATACATTTTTTTAACTCATTTCGTAACAACAACATATTAAAAAAATTCGTAGCATGTGCCCCCCCCAAAAAAGCGGCAATTCACGCTCGCTGAGTAATTCCCTTGCTGCTGAAGCGAACGCGAAAAAATAATCTGGCGCCCACAAAGAAAAGAATGGGAGAAACAAGTTCAGCGCATTGGATTGGCTGGTTAAGCGGCGAGTTGGGAGAAACCGCAGATTACTGGATTCGAAGTAGTCGGTAAAACACGTTGCAATTGGCGAAAATCGCTGAATTGGCGAAAAATTCGAAAATTTCAACAAAAATCACTAAAAACACTTGAAAAAGGAAAAAAATTGTAAAAACAAACGCATTTTCGTAAAAATTACGAAAAATTCGCAAAAGTTGGCTGGTATGGGCATGGTCATGATACATCATGATCATTAATAGCAATACTTGCAATCAGAGTAACTATGACTAATTGTCACCGACTTGCAAAAACAAATCATCTGCAAATAATAAAATCATCACTTTGCAAAAGGAAAAACTACATAAATACACCTTCAATGTGCTTTTAAAAGACACAGAAATTTACTATTGCAGTTTAAAAGTGTGAATTGCTGTATGCCATATGGGTTAGTAGATGAAAAATTCATAGACTTCATTTTGGTTTCAAACATAAAAACAACACATCCTGCCATGTACACTCTTGGGGAAGGGGCAGTTCCATATCTCGCATTCTCATTTTACTGGGCCAATGAGAACATGTGATGCCATCACTTCATTCCCCTACACCGTGAGTGGGGTAGGGTGGGGGCAGAAAAGTGAATACAGATGTTTCTTTTTTTCATCCTGTTCAGTTGTGCAAGAGCAGGTGGCACAGTGTTCCCCTTAAGGGAATACCTAATTTTATCCAACAATTATTGATTATTCTCGATTTTTTCCTGTACAAAAAATTTAAAATATAGAACAGTTTACAGTACAGCCAATGATATAACATAGAATTTTTTTTAAATCTTTCTTGTATCATAAAAAATATACAAAATTTCTGGCGAGTGCACGGATTTTAAATAACAGCCCGCAGCTGAAGATCACAATTGCCTTTTGTGGTAATGTCATCTATCATTGAATAGGAAGATAAAAGTAAATGGCAAACCTATTTTCATCCATTTACAATTGAATTTAACAGTTTGAGAAGCTAGCCAAGTTGTGCGTTACTTGTACAGGAACATTTAACAACAAAAGGGTTAACAGTGCAGTCATTTTTGTATAAGCTCTTTTTTGCTATATTTCAAACTGCAATGGAAGACACTGTGGTAAAATTTCTCCAAGAATAGTTTTCTGCCTCACAATCGCTAAAAGGAATGACTGCATTGAATCTGTTTTGGAAATTTATTATGATGAAATTTTCACCAGAGCAAATGATAAGATTGACTGACTTTTAAAACAAAATATCAGCATTCAATGCAACATTTGATTTATCACTTTTAGATAGTTATTCACTCAAACGCTTATCAAATTTGAACATGCTATAAAATGGCAAGAAAAACAATTTTGATTAAAACAATTACCAACTTTGGTTACAAAAAATAGCCATCTAGAAGCAGAATACCAAATATCTAATTAAATAATATAAACTAAATATCTTATTGAAACATGAAATATGCATGTATATAACAAATATTTTTTTTTTTTTTTTGCAATTAGAAATCATTGTGGTGTAGTAATACATAAATACCAGTTTACTGCAGTAAAACATCTCACAGTTTACAGAAATATATTCATGTTTTCTAAGATCAAACTTTTAACTTTCTTCTATTAAAATAAAATTTTTTATTGCTAAAGAAGCTATTTCTGCCTAACAGTATCTTACTGCACTGTGTGGCATATGCAAATTTAACAAATATTTACTAATACATCAAGGAAATAGCAAGGTCTAATTATACGACATTTTATATACCTTACACCAAAGGACAAGTTTTATTAAATTTTTAAATTCTCCAATCAATACTGCACACTGTTCATTATGATGCAAATATACTATCTACCAGTATTTGACACCCATGCAAATGCCAACATCTGCAATCCTGATATACATTGCACTCTGTGCTGTTCAATTTTGCACTGGAAACAATATTGGAAATAGTTGCCACAAAGTGCAGTTATCCAATTTTGAGAAATAATCGTCAGATAGCACAGAAATGACTAATCCTTAAGCCGCATTGCATATTTAGCAAGCTAGATTACCCAAACTCGTTGCTGGCCTATGTGATTCAGAAGTGGAAGGAGAGCGGTAATAGTCAGTATGTATGCCGGGTCAGCAAACATAAGAAACTGAGACAGAAACTGATGGATCATGTTCAGAGAAATTCACATGAATCATGCCTAAACAATGTCCTAGACACTCCAGAAATTTTAACAGGCATCTAGGAGCATAGTTTCAATGAACACCATCTGTAAGGAAGCACGCCTGCTTGGTTTTCATGATCGTGCTGCTACCTTTCATCACAAAGTCTAATAGCATTGCCTGGTTAATATAGGGCAAAGTATGTCAACAGCAGACCACACATTAGTGGATATGGGTTTTCCAGAGCAATAAATCAAAGTTAACCCTCTACCATTCAGCTGGCAGGGTCTGTCTAAAGAACAAGAACACCTCCTGCCAAAACGCACTGTGTCCACAGAGTTCAGCAAAGGTGGAATTATGATCTGGCGATGTTTCTCCTGGTATGCACTAACAGTTTGCCCAAATTTATGGTAAGCTAAATGTCTGCTGAACTATTTTGGATGACAGTCCTTACCACGTATCCTTCCACTACACAGGACTGGATTTCGAAAGGGACATTTCTCAGAACTTGCACATTTCTACGAAACCTGTTACCATTTTTCACTTATCAAATTTGAACATGCTATTACTCAGACTTGAACGCGAAACAATAATTGATTAACGCTCAGATTGGGATAAAATGATCTTTCAGAAGCAGAACTTTCATCTAATTGGTTGATCTCTATGTAGGACAGGACTGCAGACGGAACATTTTTGACAAAGTTTCAAAATATCCTGCATAGCCAGGAGATTGTTTCCATAGCTAGGCAAGACTTCGCTTAAAGAAGGGCTATTTTCCTTTCATTTACACCATTGCTATCAGAATCTCGTATCTCAGAAGAGTCCCGTCTAGAGGCGACAGCTGCTAGATACGATAACCCCTTTATGTTGCAGCAGTTTTTACAGGTTGGACCCCTATTATTTTAAAAACGACAACGCCATCTGTCCTGTACTGGGATTAGTGTGGTGACAATGGGGTTAATCAAACAGAATAGCCTAGACTCTATGAAGTCTTTCAGATGAGTTGGATCAGCAAATTAAGGATTGCAACAACCATCCAACATCAGTGATATGTTTTCTCCAAGCCACATGGAAGAAGTAACAACAGCTGTCATTCAAGGAGTTGTGGAAAGCATGCTCCAGAGGACCAAGACTGTAACTGAATATGAACAAGCCTGTTACTATTGAATATACATAAGTTTTGTTTTCCCTTCCTACCACAGGTGTCAAATACTTATTAGTAGACAGCGTATATTAAATCAAGACCAGAATAGTAATTATATCTTAAGGAGAACTTTTTTTATACATCAATACTTTTATTTTATTAAAAAATTATCACAATTTTGGCATCCTTCAACTTGGATGCAAACCTACCAATGCTACGTAAATAAATAATATAAAAGTTATCATCTAGAGATACTGATCTACTCAGTCTATCTGAGAATTAACATTCTGTATTCCCCGAATATTCTGTAGAGATATTCAGTACAGTTTGTCATTTACTGCACATTTCTCACTAGTCTGTTACCAACACTATCCCCTTAGTTTGCAGTTTTTACATCATTCCACACAACAGTAATTCTCCCCACTTTCAGATTAAAAGTCTAAACTACCTTTTATTTCTGAATACTAGGCAATGATTATTTTTTTTCTGCTTACCCACTAATGCCAAAATCAGGATCTTAATTTTTTGCTTGGCATACAGTAAAGCTACAATGTTGACAAATGATTTAGGGTGAGATATTTTAAAAGTAAAATATCTAAAGAGTTTTAGAAATAAATTCATTGAAATTCCTTAAAAACAAACCTTTTAATAAACTATTATTTTAATGGATAGTCATTTTTCATATTAATTAAAAGTATGATTACAGAGAAACATTTGCTTGATTAAAATACATAAATTTATAATTTGTAAAACTAGTTTATTCCGAATTAATTTAATAGCCTGCATGAAAATTCAGTGCAGACCTATTTTATATTTAAAGACTATAAGACCCTCATTCATTACAGTTAACTATATGGTATTTTCTTTCATACAAATGTTAGTTTTAACTCTAATGGTTTCTGAGGTAAAAAAAAAAAATTCCAAACTTGAAAATAAAAAGGTATTTACGTTCAGATGCCCATGAAAAATTTCCATGATCAAGCCTTAATGCTCTATATTTTTTATTGCCGCCTCTGGTTCTAACAGTGTGGATTCTTTGAGGGCCAATCTAGGAAAAAAGAAAATGACACAGGCTTGTATTAAATACAGACACATTTTTATTAATCTAAGGCATTTTTATTAATCTAAGAGATTCAAGAATTTTTGCACAACTATTCACAAACTTCCGATTCTACCTACTTATAAGAAATACTTTTGCATTAGAATCTGTCCAATCTAGATTAAAAAATGTAATAATAATACAAGGGTTACCCTTCAGTCTACTCTAACCATTTAACTTTATTTAACTAACATACATACCTACTTTTGTCAACATTAGGGTTACCAAAAAACCTACTTCAGTATTTTAGAGTGGTGTTCCAAATTTCACAATCAATCGCAGTGGGCTTCCAAATTTCACAAACAATTAATACCACTGAGCGATTTTTTTCAGACTAATCGAAACCATACAGTAAAAGTCAACCATTACTGTTAATAATTTACTTTCAAAAGTTATGATCAAGCATCAGTCAATGAATTTTTTCACCACAAAAATTCAGCCGAAAGATGGTGATTTAATTACATCATTTGCCTGATCGGTGAAATAACTAGATATATTAATATTAGACAAAGATTACACCTTTGTCAAAAATTATTCCGAAATTTTAAGAATGTACACATGGGATTATTCATATCCACGATTTCTAAATTAGAAAATTTTACTCCTATTGCAAGATTTTTTAAATAAAATAACATGCAGATGAACTTATTGCTTGCATAAAATACATAATTCAGTTAGGCAGAGATCAGAAAATACATTTTTCACCACAAAATTTCAGCCGAAAGATGGTGATAACAGATTAGCATCATATACTCAACCAAATATGAATACATATGAAAATATACTATGAAGTTTGTTTGAATTTACTTTTGTTACATGTGTGTAAAACAGCCCATTAAATTAACACCTCAAAAGTGTTCATTTTCATTATATTGTAGCATGCAGCACAGTTTTGCATGATGGGCCAATTTTCCTTATAGAGCATTAGAAAAAAATCACTTTTATTACAGCATTCACCCTGAACAAATCAACTGCAATTTACAGGTTAGAGCCTAACTATTCTGCATTAAATTAGCCAAGGACAAGTAATGCGAATATAAAAAAAATCTGAAATCTTTCAGATTTTAAATTAGAGCTAAAGGGGCTTTTTTTAACGCTTTGTGTGTTCCCTTTATTTATTAAATAACATCTTCACTGCTCTTAAGCCACATAAATATAAGCCATAGTATTTGGTGGCAGCGATTTTCAAAGTGGATATGCTGTTTATAGGTTTTTGACACAAAATCGCAAAATGAAAACAACAGTCCTTCAGGGATAATGCAGCTATAGAGTAATTACATACATAAAACAAAATCTGAAGGCTTTCAAACTTTACGCCAAAATGAGTTTTTGTTTTCTGTTACCTTTGTTTATTAAGTACAGTCAAAAGTCGTTAATTCGGACACCCATAATCCGGAATGATCTATAACACGGACTTCAAAGCTAAAAACTTTCTGCACATGCGCACAGGCGTTTTACGCGTGCGCATAAGACCTTGACTACTGCGCATATGCGTGTGCGCAAGTGCAGAATACGTTTTCGCCTGCACGTTTAATGTATAACGGACGGTGTAAGCTAAAATTATCTATTTCAGTTAATGTTAATGATTGCGTTGTTCCTTAATCTTCGAATTGGATCCCGCTTATTATTTTTTGCAGATTGTAAGAGCAATTTTATACCAAAGGATCTACAAAACGAAAGTATGTTTTGATGTCTAACAAATAAAAAGTGGAATTGCTCCAAAAAATGGATAAAGACATGAAGAATGTGACAGAGAGGTTAGTGAAAACGAAAAAATTTCGATTGACAAGTTAGTCGGTATTCTCGGCACAGCAATTAACGGGACTTGAACAGCGGAACTTTATAACTGAACAAGAAATTATGTCTGTTTATAGAATTAAGGAGAAAGTATTATCACATAAAACGAAACAACTTACATTGAAAGAAATGTTTAATAAAGTAAACAAATAAATATTAAGCTTTTTTTTTGCAAATTTTGATACCCTTTAGATCATAATTGTTCTTTATTTCATAAATTACGGTTTCATATTTTTAATTTTAGAATTTCTGCACGCCATCTTACGAGATTTAAACTGATGATCTATAATCCGGAATCGCCAAAGTCCCGACGAGTCCGGATTAACGACTTTTGACTGTATACAGTTTTCTTTCAAGTGTTGCTCTATTGATTACTTCAATATTTCACCTTTGGAAATGGACACTTTTCACACCATTTTAGAAAAAATAGCTGTTGCTGGGTAGTTTGGCCTAGAATTAATAATGGATAAACATGTTGGTACTTGATTAATTCTTCATAAGCAAGTTTTTGTAATAAATATAAATGTACTGCTATTTATGATTTTTGCTGAATTTAAAAATAACGATTAGAATTCAGCAGCATGCCACACAACATTTTTAGAATTACAGGAACAGCATCAAGAAAGGTGAGGAAGCACTTCAGACAATCCAGTAAATGTAAACATCGGCAACTTTGGCAATAATAGTTCAAACTTGGTAATCTAGCAGATTCATCTTATTCACTTGGTCGGTTACAACTATTCTTTTCGCGTTCATTTTGTTGAATTATCACTGTGGTTGTTCGCGTTTTATTCTCCTCTTATTTATTTTTTTCCCTGAATTTTCTAACAATGAATAGATTGATAGATAGAAATATTTTCGTATAATTAAAAAGAAGTTTTCGTCAATAGATGCCGGTTGTCGGCTCGTCAGTTTGGCATCAAAGGAAGAAAATATGGCAGGAGGGATGATGTAACACGGCTGTTCACATTGTGTTCTTAATTAGCAGCTGTAAGCACGCAGAACCATGAGGTTTCCAACCCCTAAAATAATTTGTTTTCATAGGCCACAAAAATGTGCATTTTAAATAAGTAATGCTTTTATTTTTATTGTTGGTTATTGTCATCTAAAATTATGAAAATAAATCAAATTTTATGGCGTAAAACTTTAACAAGGTACTATATTATTAATGCTTTACTAACAATAAACTTTTAGAGGTGTTTGGTGTATTTAATTATTGCAAAGCACACTAGGGGTATCTGCCTAAGGGAAGGAATGAATTCGTGGAGGACTTTCTAAGAGAAACTGGCTCGTATACGTACACATGGGGAAAACCATGAAAATGCCCATGCAGCCAGCCCGTTCGTGGGATTCAAACTTCGGACCAAACTACCAGTGTTCAGCAACTTTACCGCTCGAGGGCCTAACCTTCCAGAGGATAGCAGGTGTGACATAAATAGCTGATTAAATTGAAATAAAAAATATTATTGATAATCTAAGATGACAGAATAGTTTGATTCCCCATGGTCATCAAAATTAGCAAACCACTGTTGGTGTAAGATATACAGTTCAAATAACTTTTGAAAAATAATAAAATGTATAAAGTTCTAGTTTTATTAACAATGCTACTGAAGAAAATTTGATTACTGTTGAAGGTTATTTGTATTGTGAAATATGTTATGAAAAAGACATTTCAAAGTAAAAAAGGAAAGTACTTAAAAATGAAAAAAAAAAAGACATAATAGAAATATCAATATTCTATATGGATTAGAGAAAATACATTGGGTTTTCATCTGCAGAGAACTTGTTGGCGCTTCGGGAAAGAACCCTTTGGCGCAGTTGCAGTTTTACTCGCCAATGAGCCGAGCCGTAAGCGTGATATTTTGTAAATGTGGTTTTTAGTGATGTAAATTTAAGTTAGCAGACAATGGTAGTAAAAATTCACAGATAATAAGTATGTAGATATGAAACTAACAGGTTAAATGTGATATACGAAAATAAATTTCTATTAAATTCAAGTTAGCACAGAAAACAATGTATATTAAACATAAACGGGAAGTAAAAATTCATTTAAAAAATAACAAGTTAGTATTCTTATACTTACGTTTACAATATACTTATGTATTTTCTCTAATTCATATAGAATACTATATTTCTATTACAAATGTCTTTTTTCACTATCAAGTACTTTGCCTGTTGATTGATGTATTTCGGTAAGAGCCATGCCATAATAAATTAATGAATGCATGACCTTTAATATATCCATTTTACAAGTTTTAATATTTTTTTTTCAAGTTACTTGCATACAGCTTAAAGCATTTTACGTTGAAACAAATACCTATCCTTTTTCATAATATATTTCACAATACAAATAACGGGGATGTTTCCATAACCGGCACTTGGCGAAATTGCGGATTTGTTTACATCGGAAGTGAGCGTACGTGCGCCAGAATATGGTAACCCTGATAATTGTTGCAACCCACACAGGGAATTTTCCTGAAGGAGGAAAAGGGAAATTTTCTGTTTACTTTTCGAACATTACGGTAAGAGAAAATAAAGTTTGAAAGTCGCAAATCATTATTAGTTCATATTTTCGCAAAACGTTTATGGGGTTTATTTTTCGAACATTACGGTAAAAGAAAATAAAGTTTTTTATATTTTCGCAACGAACATTACGGATTATTACGGTAAAAGAAAATAAAGTTTTTTATATTTTCGCAAAACGTTTATGGGGTTTGGGGAGTTAAAAAATGCAGCAAATTATTATTATTAACATAACAAAATGTTCCTTTTTTAGGTATTATATATGTTATAAATATTGCTATTGCCATGAAGACAAACTGGGCAAAGTTAAAATGATACCAACAACAACAGCATTTAATTTATTATAGCTTTTTTCTTACTTTTACTAGAATTCTAATGATAAAATGATTAGTGCATTTAAATACATATTAAATGAAAATATTAAAATAGATATGGAGATGCATTAAATATGATTTGGACTAATTTAATTATGTATTCTTACATATATAGCTATGCACATTTAATTTTTCTCAATAAAAATAATTAAGCTATCCTTATTATTTTTATATGTCTATACATTTTTTAACTCTGCACATAGCTACTTAGAAAGAAAGATATATGGGTAGGATATAAGAAGATAAAAATTATTAATCTTCCCTTCAAAGTCAAATGGATATAGCTGTAGTATATGATTTCAAAAAAAGTAAATCATTAGAATATTAAGCTGAAAATATAAGTCTGAAAGAAAGAGATTTTTCTTAAATTCAAACTGTGCACAAAACATTTCAGATGCATTCAAACTCTGAACTGGAACATGTTAATTTACTGTTGTGGAACTAATATGAAAATAATATTGTTGACAGTATAGTAGTGTACCACCAAAGAATTTATGCTGGGAGAAGAAGCAAAGCTTCGATGACACCACAAAGCCAAATGATAACTGGCTTAATTTTTACTCTTTTTATGCATAAAATGTCATAGTTGTTAGTATCTCATTAAAATGTATTTTCTAATAATATAATGATTTGCAAATGATGGAAATTTACTTGTCATTAAAACATTTTGTTCTAAACATGCTTCAGCTTATCAAAGAAGTTAAAGCTATTCCAACCTATCCCCCATATTAAAGTTTTTTTGATTAAATCAGGTTCATGTCTAATGCATCAAAAATATAAATAAATATTTCTTTAGTATTTGTCAAACATCAGTTCTCATGGCCTTAAATTGGATGCAAGATTTATTTCACAAAGTTATGTTTTCACTTATGGGGCAAAACTTTTAAATTTGTTATTTGAATCTGTTACATTAGTCTTTATTTTAAAGAATATATTGTATGTCATATGGCCATGAAGGCAACCTGGTTAAAGTAGAAATGAAATCAAACTTTCTAATTAATGTGATTTGAAGCCATTGTGTTATACTTCGAGGAATATGTTATATGGTAAATATGTGTGCTCATGTTTTTCCTGGAAAGGGCATAACATTTTTTTACAGAAATAAGTTACCAACCTAAATCTATTGTCATGGCAATTAAATTTTTCTGAAAGAGCAGGATTATTTATAAGCCAAGTGCTAAACCTTTGTATTGTTACCCTGATCATGAAATTTTAAATGGTGATTTAATTTCTTTTTTCAGGTTGAACTGCCCTTCAATGAAAGCTTTTGCTCGATGTGTGGCCTGTAATAGCAATAAATGGGACTTTTGTGAACTGAAATCTGTTAGGCTTTCCAAAATCCAGAAAGGTAAAGTTTAACTTTTTATTTAAGCCTAATGTTCTTAAAATATATTAGAATATCCATAGGTGACATTTGATTATTGTTTAATAAAGACACCATAACAAAATAAGCTGATTGAATCACCAAATTTGTAACTTGTAACTTTTAAATATATCCAGACTGTCTGCTTTAATAAGGAAGTAACATACAGTGCATATATAGTAGTGTTTTGATTTTCATTTATCATTTTATTCTGTTTTAAGTATGAGTTCAGCAATGCTCCAACATAAGGTATTCCAATTTATATGAGCTTTAAGTCGTACAGCTCCTTATTTTATTTTGCATATTTATACTTGTTGTTTTGAAATTGTCAATAATTCATAAAATGCTGATGAACAAAACATTACTATGCCTATATATAAGAATTAGCTTTAATGAAATAAGAAGCATCAAAGTATATGCTAATTGCCATAAAACTCCATACCCTTCTTCAAAACAGTACTTCAGTTATAACTGTGTTAACAGACGATGCAGTTGTTCAACATTTTTATACACTGTGCTGTTACTTTCATACTTTGGTTCAGGAAAGTAAATGGGATTTGATATTCTATATTTCTTCTTTTTTCCCCACATTATAATTATGAATCGAGTTATCAGAAAAGAATAATTAATTTTATGAAACCATTAGCATCAGAATAACTCCATTTCTTGCACATGTACTTTTTGTTTCCAATGGTGGATGCTTGCCTATGCCGGCATTGGCCACTCCTAAAATCAGATATGGTGATCTATTATGGAGGCACCTAATAGGCAGGCCACCTTTGCCTCCTATGAAGGGACAGATAATTTACATCCATGCCTTGTTCGTTATTCGAACCCGGGTCCCTCAGTATTGTACTCAGGCTTCCCTAATCACTATACCATCCGGGCAGCTACGACTTTATTTTAATATGCTATTTTGTATTGATATGTAATATGAAAAATACATTTTTTATTATGTATTTTTTAAAACAAGTGCTTTTTAGTCATTGGTTCTATTTAACTAGAATTCACATGTATTGTTTTATATGCAAAATAAATACGACCCAGACTGATTGGAATCTGACTTCAGAGCTTTCGCTCGTCGCATCTGTCACATAGCTTCAGAGCTATAACTGTGTTATATTTAATTTTTAGTACTTAAATATTAATTTGTTAAAGTTAAAAAGTAATAAAGCTGAAGAATGTCAATGTGATATATTTCTTAACAATAATGTGCAGTAGTCCCTCTTTAAAAATGGTTTTGATTATCTGCAGACAATAAAAATTGAGAAAGTTATGAAAATTAGATTATTTTGTTGAATTCAAATTGGCCAAATGATAAAGATATACAGTCAAAAGTCGTTAATTCGGACACCCATAATCCGGAATGATCTATAATCCGGACCTCAAAGCTACAAACTTTCTGCGCATGCGTTGCGTTCACGCATGCGCACAGGCGTTTAAGAGTGCGCGTAAGACCTTTACGGCTGCGAATATGTTTGTGCACATGCGCGTTTAATGCGTAACGGAGGTATAAGCTAAGCTAAAATTATCTGATTCAGTTAATGTTGCACATTGCGTTGCTCCTTAATCTTTGAATTGGATCCTGCTTATTATTTTTTGCAGACTTTTAGAACAATTTCATAAAAGTAAGCTTGAACTTTCGATTATGTCAAATAGAATTTCCGATATATATTTACTAATATGTAATTTATATCTACAAAGCGAAAGTATGTTCTGAAATTCGAAATCTGTTTATCAATTTCACGCCGCGGATTGGAAGTTGATCTGTCAGCACTATCCTTATCTTCAGGGCAGATGTTTTTATTTTATTTGGCTTATAATTCCTTACTAAGTATAGTATTTCATGTCTATGTACTCCGTCTTTGATATGATTTAAATCAAGTTCCTCGTCATTATAATTCGCTTTCGATAGTGAAGAAAGTGACCCAGAGGTTATTGAAAACGAAAACATTTCCATTGACAAATTAGTCGGTATTCTCAACACAGCAATTATAGGACTTGAACAGCGGAACTTTGTAACTAAACGAGAAATTATGTCTGTTTAATAGAATTAAAGAGAAAGTGTTATCACATGAAACGAAGCAACTTACATTGAAATAAATGTTTAATAAAGTAAACAAATAAATATTAAGCTTTTTCTTTTTGTAAATTTTGATACCCTTTAGATCATAATTGTTCTTTATTTCATAAATTATGGTTTCATATTTTTAATTTTGTAATTTCTGCATGCCATCTTACCAGATTTAAACTGATGATCTATAATCCGGAAAAATCGATAATCCGGAATCGCCGAAGTCCCGACGAGTCCGGATTAACGACTTTTGACTGTACTTGCATATAAATCACTTCTGCATATGATTGAAGCTTTACAATATGTGCTTGTTAACTTCAGTTGTCTATAGTATTATTATTATGACAGTTTAACACTTGATATTTGCAGCACATTACCTCAGATTAGAACTATAGGATAAAATGTAGTTGAAAACTTTGGGAGGTTATAAATGAAATAAACGCAGAAGAAATTAACTCAAGCCATTACTATTGTGAATGAATAACAGAGCAGTTAGAAAATTTATTATAATTCAGAATTAATGTTTAGTACTGGCAAAGAGAAAGTGAATAGTGTATTAAGTTAGATAGTTTTCACAATAGAAATATTAACTTAAATAAAAAGAACAAAACTATAAATTTTCCCTCATTAATTATTAATATTTTTATTATGTTTCATTATTAAACATGTTTATTACTTGTGTATCCTGCCAAATAGACTGGCTGCATGGAAGTTTTCATAATTTTCTCTATGTGTGACATGAATTTATGCATCCAAAATGCTAACCTTTGTATGCAACACTCACTCATTTCTAATGCTTTAAAGTCCCAATACTCGTTTAATTTAGCATTTGCAGTATCAGCGTTGTTACACTATGAGTATTACTAATATTTTAATTCAGTGCTGCTTTTTAATTACTTTCACATTTATTTTATTCAATAAATAAATTAACTAAAATATAAAATTTATTGTGAATCGATTTTGTAATTATTTATGTTTATAATTTTTATCCCTTCCAGCTGATTAGGTGTGCAGAAGCAGCAGACTTGTAAATGTGAAGGAGCTATTTGCTTAGTTATGCAGTAGAATTCACCACCCTGCGGCAAGCTTCATTAAAGCTGTGAACAGCCAAGCTAACCATCTTCAGGGCAAGTAGCTGCATCAAGCAAACCCAGTGACATTCCAAAGAGGAATGTCAGTCAAAATAAAAACTTAATACCTAAATCTCGGAAAATCAGACAATTAAGCCACAAATCTTGTGACCAATTTTTCAGTTGCTGTGCTTAGTGCGATAAAGTTATATGGCAATAAACTGAAAAGCTATGGCAGGTATTCTATTGTACCCTTTAATGAAATCAATTTAAAGCAAGCTTATCATATGATAAGCAAAATGATTGTATCATTGGATGGTAATGATTGCATTGCTGGGTATGCAGGCTATGGTTCTACAATGAGCCAAATGTAATATCTCAGTATGCTGTGACTATTAAAATTATAAATTATGTATTATTACTTCATATTGGTCATTATGTTCCAAAATAAATGCTCTTTTTATATAGAACTATATAAATGTAGAAAATCTGAGAAGTTAATTTTATATGGAAAGCCTTCGTGCAAAATTAATAGCATCTTGTTAATTTCATATATGTTTTGTGAAAGTAATTGCTGCTGAATCTAGAATTAATGCATTATCTGAGATTTGAGACAAAATTTGTCAAATTAGAAGATAGTGAAATAGATAAATAGGAAATGAAACATGAAATTTATATATTTAATATTGAAATAAATATCTCAGTAAAGTGGCTGTATGTAAAGTATAATGATGCAATTTTTATAATTTTTTACTAAAATGCTAAAATTATGTGCTATGAAAATTTTATTTTCATTAATATTTATATTTTTTTTCCTCGCAAATTTTTATCCAAGGTGTATATGTTTTAGCTATTTTAGATTTTTCTGTTTTAATGTTAAAAATATCTTCTTTATCAGCATTACATTAAAATCCATCTCATAATCATTTGAAAATGAAGGAAATTTCATTCTTTTCAATAGTTTAAGAATATTTTCATAAAACATAATTATAGAAAAAATGAACTGATACATTTTTAGTTATATATATGTAAAGAAAATTTTTTAGAAGGATCCTTTTTTCCATACCAGAAACATTTCATGAGCTGTAATATGTAATATTAGTTGGCCTAATATGTAAAAGGAATGTTTAATCAAATTATTTTTATTATGCTTTTATAAATATCACTATAATTTTAAGAGTTATTGAATTTAAAAGTGAAAGAAAAAGCTACAGTTATTTCAAGACTCTTTAATAAAACAATTCTTTATTCTTGTATTCTCGTATGAAAATTTTCTGTATATTTAACATAAAATTGTATGCATGTAAATAAATTTTTTAATTTATTATTATCATTCTGTTAGCTTCAATTTTTATTCTCAATAAATTTGATACATATATTTAATATTCAGCTAAGTTTTATTAACCATGACTGATAAGCATTTTAAATTTCATCCTGTCAAAAAATTTAAAATTCCCTTTTTTTCTTGTAATTTTTTCATACACCTCTCATTTTCTGTTTAATTGTAAATATTGCATACTTATAATTTTATAAAGCATAACTTCCCTTCCCTGAAAAAGCACACAGATTCATTCTTAATTTAAAATTCAATTACAAGTCCAATGTGAAAATGAATTAGCCAATGGAACAAAATAACACATATGTCTTTAATAGAGGACAACATATCAATAATTCCCTTAGTTTCATTTATCCCATTAGCTTCTTTACCTATTAAAAAAATTCTGATCCCCCCCCCTCATGGGGGAATCAGAATTTCAGTGTAAAGTCATAAATACCACTAATGCACACATTTACATATACACATTTGCTTCCCCTTAATGTAGTATAAGTAATGTTACTCTTCATTGATAATGTTTATTTTTATTTTAACTTTGCCTGTATTATTCACTTTTAAAATAAGCACAAATTTCTATTCTGTTTTTTTTGGTTATCAGTATTTATTTCAAGATTCACACATCTGCAATTTCCAGCTTCATTTATTAAAATATATTATGCATTTTACTCATTATTTACATTATTTATACATTATTACTGGTATTAATCTTATTATCTTTTATGGATTGTAAACTGACTCTGGATGAAGGAAATTTCCATTATTAAATATTTTCTATTAGCTTAAATAAAACATAAATACACACACGCAGAATGTTTGAAATAGGTTTTTATGCTTAGTATAATGACTGATCTAAGGATGGAAAAATTGTACAAATAAAACATGTAATTTTGTAAAATCATTACATTTGTCAAAGTAAGAAATAGGGCAAATATGCAAAATTCTATCTGCAGTGCCAGACTTAATTATCGATGCTCAGGATGGAAATCTCACTTGGTCACCCTATATCGGAATGATCACCATACAAAATGTCAACACAAATATAAAATTAACATTTATTTAATTAAAATTAAATATTTGAATTGATTTGAAAAGCAAGTCTTAAGATTAAGGGGGAAAAATTACATTTAGAAAACAAATTTATATTTAAAAATGCTTATTAATCAGCTATTTTTGATGATTTAAAAAATATTGTTAACTTTTCTAAAAATAAAAAAGCTATAACTGTTTTTAGTGAATTTTGACTTACGAAAGTTTGTTTATAGTTTTGTCAAAAATTCATTAACATGTTTAGCTACCGTATGTTCAATGCAAAAAGACTGACAAGCCATTAAATCTTGGCACACCTTGTTGATCGAAGATAGCTTTTAATCCACTTCAACTTCAAAAAGCTTCTCTAGCATGGAGCAACTGAAACATACACCGTCCCAAAGATATCTTTAGTGCCAATTATGAGTTAGGGATTGATTCTCCCAATACAGACCACATTTTAGCTTCATTTTTTTTTAATATATACTTAAAAACTTAAGGTTCTTCGGAGGCCTCTCCTCTTAATCAGTGGCCTGGCTGTTCTGCTCCCCCTGGTACTCTTCTGCCTAGCCAGAATATGAAAAAGGTGCAATACCCTAGCCAAATTTTCCATTGCGGTAATAAAGGAGAAAATTCCTTGCATTCTCCCCCACTTCTAGGGCGACAAGGAAGGTAAGGATCAGTTGCTAAATCCTGATAGTGACATATTATAGGCTACCACATTTTACTTCAGGCGCCAATAGGCAGGGAAAAATATACGTTGCCCTCGCCGAGTTTCGAACTCCTAACCTCATGATTTCTAGGCGGGCGGGCTTCCGATTATACCATTAAAGACCGCTTTAAAGAGGAAAAAATACCTATAACTCTTCCTATTAATAATGATTAGTTTTTCTCAGACTTCGTTTGGCTTATTAAATTACGGCAAAGCACTCGAGGGCTATCTGCATTAAGGGAGGGATGCCTTCGTGGAGGACTTTTTAAGGGAAACTGGCTCGTATACACGTTCACACATGGGGAAAACCACGAAAACACCCATGCAGCCAGCCCGTTCGCGGGATTCGAACCTCGGACCGAACTACCAGTGTTCAGCGACGTTACCGCTCGGCCGCTGGTGGGCCCCTTGTTTTCCAGTTAATTAATTTAATGTGGCTTCATGTTTTATAGTTTTACTAGCTTTTACCCACGGCTTCGCTCGCGTTAATGTCCTTAAATAAGTTTCAACTTCGCGTGAATTTTAAAAATACACTCTGCGTAAAATTTCAGTAAATACTGCCCTTCTTCTATACCTATAGACCGCGGATATTTTGTATTTACGTGGAGTGTATCGCCATGAAATCTAGTAAAACTGCTACGTATATTTTCTTAATGACTGAAAAATTTTTGTGAAAGATGACCCGAAACCCGTAAATCCTGAAGGATTTCAAATAATAAAATTAAACAAGGAAAAATTTATAAATGTTACGCTTTCACGCCTTAATTACTTAACGGATCATCATGAAATTTTCAAGAAATATTTTTGATATATTAGCAGTGGCGTAGCTAGGGTGAGGCTATCTGTCTCTGGGCCCAGCATCCAAGGGGCGCCTTATTGATGCTACGAAATTTTTGAATGAAATGTTTTCCATTTTTGGCACATAGAATGGGGCGCAAATGCTTCAGTTGTCCCCAGGCGCTGGAAACTCTAGCTATGCCCCTGTATATTAGAAAAGGTTATAAATAAAATGTTTATTAAATATTTATTGTCTATAAAATGTTTGCGTGGCTTAAACCACGCAAACATTTTATAGACAAGCCAAGCACCTGTGCGCGCAGACAAACTTTTATATCGTTTAACATTTAATGTTTATACAACGGCAATCATTTTAACTATAAAACTTATTGTATAGTTTAAGTTTCAACTGATAAGTTACATTATATAGCCTATAACCTTTTCTCATCTTTCTTGAAAATTTCATGGTGATCGGTTAAGTAATTAAAAAGTGAAAGGGTAATAAACAAACGCACAAACAAACTCGCATTCGCATTTATAATATTAGTTAGGATTATATAATATTAAAAACAATTTTTTTTTCGTTATGACATAATTACGAATAACCTTGCTTTGTTAAGTTCCCCCACTTTAAAGATAACCTCTCATATGCATCGCAAAATACAATTCATCTTTCTGTTATATATACAGGCTGACTCATCTTTAATAAAAATCAAACGAAATAAACCGTATTTATATGGAGCAACAAGGCCAGAAATGGAAAAACAGATAAATCTGTATTTAGTACCAGTGCTCCTGGTAGGCACTTGGAGAGCTTTCTGATTCCAACCACAGAGTATATACCGTTTTACGAATTCAGAGTTTGCAGACATTCACTTCGTGTATCAAACAGCTGACGGCAATGGAGGAGCCACTGTAAAGAATGTATAAGAATGTATGGGAAAAGGTGGTGCCCAACCACATGTGTATCATAATATTAATGTTTGCACATTTGCATCAGAATCTGTTTCAATGAACATGGTCTCTTCAGGGTAAAAATATAGAATGTCAAATGGCAAAGATCAACCGAAACACCTGGTATATAGGAGGATGGGTTGCATGTTATGGAAGCTGTGTATATGCTTATACCAAAATTAAAATGCACAAACATATATGCAATTGTGGCTCCAACAGGAGTATCTAGAATCAATGGATATTATGCAGCTCACCTTGCCTTTCTTTAATTTTATCTGCAATGTGCCCAGTTATTGCGATGATAATCTGCGATGTATGGTATTTTTTTGCGGTGGTTCTTAGAGACACCTTCATAATAGCACCCAGATATAATGGTGAATACACCTTTATAAAGATCGATCGCTGTTCGAAAAAATAAAATTCTTTGTAAGGGTGCCTTGGCATAAAGGCATGTGAACCTTACAAAAAAATCAATCTGTAATTTTGAAAAATGCAACCTCTGTAAGGATACGGACAATTTAAGGCAGGTCTCTTTATGCGAATGGGGTTTTCATTTGCATTGCAGATTAATTAATTAATGATGCAGTGGATGGAATTAATTTTCGGCACTTTTGTGAAAAACAAGATCTTTCTACGGAAACGCTCGTCACACATTTCTCAAAGGGTACATTTATACAAAGTCCAGTGAAGTGAATTTGCATAAAGGTGCCGAAGATTTATTTGATCCTTCGCTTAATTAATTAGTCAGAAGAGGCGTAGCTAGGGTTTTCGGCGCCCGGGGACAACCGAAGATTTTGCGCCCCTTTCTCTGTGTCAAGAACGGAAAACATTTCATTCTAAAATTTCGTAACATCAATTTCGCGCCCCCTGAATTCTGCGCCCCGGGGATAGATGTCCTCCCTTGCCCCACCCTAGCTACTCCACTGCTAGTCAGTAATGAAAACAAAAATTGAACTTACATAAGTATGCACTTTTATGAAGAGTGCTTTTCTGAAGTTAGAAAATGATACTCATCAGGGACGCTCGTCTTCAAGGCAGGCGCATTTCTAACAATTTCTTTAGGTAACAAGGATTATCAAACAACAACGATTTGCACAGGTGTGCAAGTATCTTTATGATGCAGGGCCGTTCCTAGTGAAGGTGGAGGAGAGCGTAAAAGTAAGCGGGCTTCGAAAATCAGGGGCGGCCGGACTTCCGCGATACCTAAATATTTCAAATTCATTGTAAATACTTGTCATATTATGTCAGTACTTGTTATACAATGTGTCATATGTAAGTACTTAGTGAGTATGAAATATAAATTTTATTAATCATTGAGCATTTTGTTTTTTAAATTTGGGGGCGGCAATCTCGAATGTACTCGGGCATCTAATGGCCTAGGAACGGCCCAGTTATGATGTACTCCTTATCAAACCATCTTGATTCAAGGCAAACTAGATATCTAGTTGGCTTGCTTGATTCTTTTAACAGAGCCCTTGTGATCTAGAATTTAGAAGCTGTATTTATAGATGATAAAGTCCAGTAAAGTGAATTTGCATAAAGGTGCCGAAGATTTATTTGATCCTTTGCTTAATTAATTAGTCAGTAATGAAAACAAAAATTGAACTTACATAAGGATGCACTTATGTAAGTTCAGTTTTCCTCCTTTCTTATAAAGAGGTCTTCTAGATCTCAGCGCAGACTGTGGATTCAGATGAACTCACTGCTACTCAGTCCCATGTTGCGTGACACCGCTTCGCCATTTTTAATATGTAAGTGGATGACTGTTTACTGAGCCTATACCTACTACTACCCAAGATGGGAGAGTAAGATTTTTGTAGGCGAGATTTCACATGATTTCTGAAGATAATCCCATGACTCTGAGCCACTGTTTATGATTCCAACCCGAGTGGCTCCAGCCCATTACGTCATTCATGCATGTGAGTATTAAGTGAAATTTTGTAAAGCAATGGGTTGGGGCATGATGAACCTCTGTCGAAGCTCCCATATTCACATGAATTATTTAGCACGAATTCCTTTCTGAGGAAGACACAAAGCTAGATTTAGACTTGATAAGGCTCTAGGCTGTTTGAAATATAGGGCCCTTTATAAGTCTGTTATACTATATTTTAATTTTAGGGGGGCGAAGAAAGTGGGGGCCCTAAGCTATATATAATAGTAGCTTATATGTGTAGCTTATACGTAAATCCTGCACTGGAAAGACACTTGAGACCAATGTGCATTAAATGGCTGTTGTTTCTGATCTAGGGCTTGCTGGAATAACTGCAAAAGTAGCTACTATTAAGCTACGAAATTGAAGGTGCCTTTGTAAATATTTGGCAATCCATGTGGAGTTAATGACGGGGATGCATTACAGAAATTAGCTGAAATTTCAAACATCGTTTTTAAAACCCTATTATGCGGCTACAAGTTTTGTTAGCTGGTCTTCTTACGTTTATTCAATCGGGCCAAAGCTCTATTTATACTGTTATTAATGTTTGATAAGCCAGTAATAATATTTGATTCACTGTGATAATACAGATAAGTAAACTGGAACCATTCTAGCTAATAAATGAAGCTTTTAAAAAAGTTACATTTTCATTAAAAAAAAGTTTTTTTTAATCTTGAATTTAATTTTTCTTTCCAAAAATGTAATTTAGAATTGTAAATAGGCAGACAGAAGAGCATCATGGATGATTAATAACTGCTCGGCGCTAAATTCTCAAATGTACATAAATAAGTATATTTAGTATAATTGTTTGCAGCGAAATAACCTATACCATTCTGTTTGAAATAATTTACTGTATTTTATTTTAATCAAATTAGAAAGCAGTATTATTAATTATACATTCTGAACTGTAAAAAACAAGACCTTAAATATAATCAAATGTAGATTGTGAATAAACATAAGAGTAGGAATATAAAGAAAAATTATACTATATAACAATTTTATATTTGTTTATTGGCAATAAATAGCAGTTCTAATTTCAATAATTCTATTTACAAGAACTTGCAGAACTTCTTAATAAATTTTGCCAAAATTATTAACTTAACGATCCGAGTTCATCGTTCACTGCAACCGTAACTAGTAACCGTAACTTTGGGCGCCAAATCGATCGCGCGCGGAAAGGATGTCTCGTGTACAAAGTAAGTGCTAATTTGTTATTAATGCAATTTAATATTATTATTTATATATATTATGATATAAATTAAATTTAATTTCATATATTGTCAGAGGATGCTAACGAGAATAAAGTAAATTCGTAGTTTAAAACGATTACTTAACTTATCCCTTACTTACGATACTGAGAATTTTTTTTTGCTTTTACTGTATGTTTTAAGCGTTTTTAAGTATTTCTAGATTTATAAAAATAGTTTATGTATTTATAAAAGAGTAGGTTTCTTGATTAATTTTATGATAGATATTTCTTTTAGTTTTAAAGCATGAAACTATTTTGTAAAGCTGATTTCTGCAAATCGTATATTTGAAAACATTAAGTAGTTGTATTTAATGTAATTTAAGCAATTTCGTTTATTATTTCTTAAACTTTTGCCCAGCAAAAAAATATTATATATATATATTTTTTATAATTTGCATTTCTGCTAAGCAGTTGTATTTAATGCAATTTAAACAATTTCATTTAATATTTCTTAAACTTGTGCTCAGCAAAAAAATATTATATTTTGTTTTTCTTATTATTTGCAGGTATCCTGATAGATATCTGAAGTAACAGCGATGAGTAGCCTTCAGGATGGCACCATAAATTCGGTAAGTTCGTTTTTTCTTGTTCTTTCCAGGTTTGGTAGGTCAGAGTTGTTTTCCCTGTCCGATTTCCCTCGGACAGGGAAAACAATTTTGGCCGCCATCTTGGATTTCAAAAACGCGCCAAGAAGATGGCGGCCAAAAAATAGCCAAGGGCCGGTTACGGAAAATTTCCCCAAATAACCTTCAACAGTAATCAAATTTTCTTCAGTAGCATTTTTAATAAAAACTAGAACTTTATACATTTTAAAATTATTATAGGCTTTGGAAACCTCATGGTTCTGCGTGCTTACAGCTGTTAATAATTAAGAACATAACGTGAACAGCCATGTTACAAATTAGCATTCACCCCTCCCGCCATAATTTCTTCCTTTGATCCGGAACTGACGACCCGAGAACCGGCATCTTTCGACGAAAACTTCCTTTAATTATGCGAAAATATTTCTATCTATTCGTTGTTAAAAAATTCAGAAAAAATAATAATAAATAAGAGAAAAATAATATAAATCTCCAAATGCGAACAACGACAACCTTCGCATAAGCGAATAGGATGAATTAGCTAGGTTACCAGGTTTGAACTATTATCGCCAAAGTTGGCGATGTTTACATTTACCGGGTTCTCTGCGGAAGTGCTTCCAATACACTAAGTATAATGTAAATGTAAGTATAAGAATACTAATTCTTATTTTTTAAATGAATTTTTACTTCCCCGTTATGTTTAATATATTGTTTTCTGTGCTAACTTTAATATAAATTTATTTTCGTGTATCACGTTTAACCGGTTAGTTTTACATACACATGCTTATTATCTGTGAATTTTTACTACCATATGTTTAATATATTGTTTTGTCTGCTAACTTGAATTTACATGCACTAAAAATCACGTTTACAAAATATAACGTTAACGGCTCGGCTCATTTGGCGAGTATAAATGCAACGGCGCCAATGTGTTCTTTCCCGAAGCGCCAACGTGTTCTCTGCGGATGAAAACTCAAAATTGCGTTCTAAAGAGCACGATATGCAACCTCATTTGCAAATGAATGCAATATGGCGATGTAGTGTGAACAGAATAATTTGTGTACATTTTGATAACTAATATGGATATTTGCGTGCATTTAATAACCGCTTGAAAAAACAGAAAGACACGTTTTTAAAATAGTATAAATATAAATGAGTTATATAGCTAAAACAGACATTTTTTAACACAATAAAAAGGAATCTACTTAAATTAGTTTTAACATTAAGAAATGTATTTACTTATGTTAAATGGAGTTTGAAACCTAAAGTCGGAGTCAAGAGTTAAGGTCCCAATTTAAAGATAATGGAAATGCAAGTTAATAAAAGAAAAACGAATCAAAGGCATGAGTGACGAATCTGCCGTTTAAAAGTCAACCGGTTGATGATTCTGCTGTTTGAAAATTAATCGACAAACAAAATAAAATCATAAATTATACAATAAAAAAATTCAATACTTTAGTATTAGCGGCAGGTCGCCCAAGCTCGAACTTCCTTTTCTTTCTGATGGGTTTTCGCTTTCCTCCAGTTTTTCTTCTTTTGTGCCAATGATCACGCGAAATACCTGAATTCAGAATAATTGCCAGTCAACTAACAATCCGAATACAAAATACATCCATCAAATGAGAAGACCATAAAATATAGATTTCATTAAAATTTAGACATTTATACATTTACACGTTCGTATTTCATCTATATTTAGCAATACAGCTTTGCTAACAGCAATCACATATAGGATTAATTAAGATTATTATACATACCCATTTTGCCAACTAACACAAAACACGCTACGAAAAGAAAAATACCATGAGCCCTAACCGTTGCCACACGTCTAAAGTTTAATAGGGAAATACAAGTGTTGCCAAACACGTTTTTCGACATTTTTTAATGAATTTATTATTTTAATTTAATTTAAATGAATTAAATTTAGATGTCCCCAGATCTTTAAGAAACTAAAAAAGTGTATTTTAAGTACATCTTTCTTTTGAGATCATATATTAAGGTCACAGACTAATAGAAAATTTCCTATTTTATTTGACACTCATTTTGATTGATGTATTACTACCAGGCCCACACTTTAATCAGTTTTGAATAAAAAATAGTTCCAAACCCTTAAAAGTGTGCAAATATGTAAATTTGTTACATATTAAAATTATATAACATGTGATTGTGAACAATTTACAAAATTTTTGCTACAGTATAATTTTACAATATACATAAAAAGATCAAGCATTTAAAAACAATTAATTCAGAAAAATTTCAGAAATTCCTGTAAATAATTTATAGCTAAATCCGTCTTCAATTATCATTAATAATAAACACCCCAGGAGAGAGGGCTGAGAATAACGAAGGCTGCAGACATGTTCGGGTACTCTTCGGAGAACAGCCTTGGCGCCAAAAAAGGAAGAAACTGGAATGGTTTGGTTGGTTTATGTGAATACGGCAAAGCAAGGAGGTTAGAATATTCTAACCTCCTTGCGGCAAAGCCTCGAGAGCTACATGCCTTAAGGGAAGGGATGCCTTCATGAAGACCTTTCTAAGCATGAGCGAATTGGGATTTCCGAGCTTTACTTCGCAAATGCCTGATCTTCGCATAAGGCTTATGGCATGTAATATTAAATAATTATAGTATATTCCTATCAATTATTGCATTTCTTAATTTATTATAAGAAAATATTCTGAAATTTATTAAGATTTTATAAAGTTTTACACAGCTTATTTTAAAAAACAACAGCTTTTTTTTTTTTTTTTTTTTTTTTTTTTTTTTTTTTTTTTTTTTTTTACTTTCGTGAATACGATCTGTGTAAGGCTCCTCTAAATATATAGAATATATAGAAGCCTTAGATCTGTGTTTTGAATTTTCGTTTTCCGACATCGATCTCGACTGGTGTCCAGACTCCCGCTTTTGGCCATATATATTTTCTCTTCTCCCTAGCTTCACATGACATTTACTTCCGTTGGCATAATAAAAATGTCGCCCACGTTCTGCTGTTCTCCGTAGAATATCCAGAAATCGAATGAAAATATTCGGCAGCGAGAACCAAGGCCCGTAGAAAGACCAGGTTAGCTCACTTGGAGTATAGTGTACTAGTACACTATACTTGGAGTAAACAAACGAAAAGCCAGCGACTCGTTCAGCTGTGACGTCACTGAAGTTCGCTGTAGCATCTCCTAATAGTAAGGCTACTATAAAGGGTAGTAATACTAGTAGCTCTACCTAATAGTAGTTTCGCATTTCCTTTTGAAATATTTTCTGTTTTTCATCGGAAAAAAATAAAAATTCTAATATTCTGGAGCTGAAACTTAATTACCTAAAATATTGTTTACAGTATAGAATAAGTTTTAATTACGAAACGTTCCCTCAGTAATTTATTGTTTCACCAAAAATCTTCCAAACTTCCTTACAGAATTTGCTATTCAAGATTCAGCTGTTTATACCGTTACTCATTTTAGCTTCAACAGACTGAAAACACACATTTCAAAAGAACTGGAAAATATGTAGTGTAGTCAGAACTTAAATTGTGCCGGCTCCGGTACTTTTCAGTTCATGGGATAAATGATAATTCTAGCCGGAGCGCATCGGAGCCCTACATAAGAAGGCTCCGCACTTCTTTTATGTAATTAACGGAACTACAATTCCAGTAGAAATTTAATCTAAAAAATTTTATTTTTAGCAGCAATAAAAATCGCTTATTAAATGTTAATTTACCTCTTTACATTTTATTGAATTATTTTAATAAATAATAATCAATTATTAATTAATGGTTAGATAATAATTAATAAATATTAATTGCTAATATTAATTAAATAATTATTTATTAATTTTGATAATAATTAACTATTTAATTTTTAAATGATAAATGATTTTTAATAGTCATTTTATTTATTTATTTACTCTTGTTCCTCTTTACTAACGGTCTTCCATAGGGTTCCGGCACTTCTAATTTTAGAAATTAAGCCCTGAGTGTAGCGATATAGAAGAAATTCAAATTAAGAGTATTTATTCTACAAAGCTGTACAAACTTGTCTCTAATGTTTGGAATCTAATTTGGCTGAAATTTAAATTAATTTTTTGCTAAAGCCTACTTTCGGTCCAATTGTTTCTGCAGTACTTGTCTCATTTGGAAATCTTAGTTTACTTGTGGCCTTTCTTTTTTCTTTTCTTTTTTTTTTTTTTTTTTTTCAGATGAACTCCCATGAGCTTTTCCTGTGATATATGATTAATTTTAATAGATTAAAAAAAAATCGCATAAAATTATAAGTCGCTAGATTCTAAAACTTGTTTGTAATTTCTTGATGTAAAGCAGCAACAAGAAACATAAACAAATGAACTATTCAAGCTATAACTGAAAGGAAGTGTAATACTTAATCAGCAGACTCTTTAAAATCAGCACCTGCATTATGTAATTCTATATAAAAATTGATACTTGATTTTAATTTAAATCTTAATTCTTTGAATTTTACTTTAAGTAAAAATAAAAAATAAAAATTTCCAAAATTATTCAGATAGAAGATGTTAACTTTTTATATAAAAAATGAGTAAAAGATATAAAAGATATTAAAAGAATAGTTGCATATCCTCTATTATGTTTTATTATTAATATTGTATATTTAGAATTTTATCTTTTAGGTTTCTATATTTATTTCACTTATGTATTGTTTAATTTATAAAAATAATAACGAAATGAATCATGTAGTCATTTTCTGGATTGTCATCCTCATTTTTTATTTCAGAGAAGTAAATCCTAGATATTAATAGGTGGTGTGTGTGATTATGGCAAAGCCTCGAGGGCTATGCGCCTGAAGGGAGGGATGCCTTCGTGGAGGACTTTCTGAGGGAAACTGGCTCGTATACACGTTACACATGGGGAAAACCACAAAAACGCCCATGCAGCCATGCCCGTTCGCGGGATTCGAACCTCGGACCGAACTACCAGTGTTCAGCGACTTTACCGCTCGGCCGCTGGTGGGCAGATATTAATAGGACTGAATGCTGTATGTGTTTGTTTTGGTATAAAAAAAGAAATATTTTTATATAATAACTTAAATATTACATTTCATTTAGCATATTCAGGTTAACCATTCTATGAATAAAAAATTTAGAGTTATCAGTTTAGTTGTGGAAAAATATTATTCATACACAATGCACTCATAAAAACATTATGCAGTTTATCTTAACGCCATTTGACTGTCATCGTACTTTCTGTGAACACATGGAAAAAGGGGGGATGTTTATTTAATATGACGACCTGTGTACAATATCCCCACAGACATAATGATTACAAATGAAATTTTGTATGAAATATATCATGGTGCACTGTATAGTAATGGAATGAAAATTTTAAAACTATAATAAATAAAATATTTGATTAAGTTATATTATTCATTCATAATACATATCGTAAAAAAATTATAAGTACAGATAGAAAATGAAATTTTATATTTTACAAGAATTTTAGCATATCTGTTTTTTAAACGTTTCTATATTCTTAAATCATACATTTCCTAAATTTCGATTGCATTTAAATGCATGCTGTGTATTACTCTGTTTTCAAATAATATGAAAGAAAAAAGCCTTAATAATTAGAAAATTAATATTGCTGAAAGAACTGCTTTATTATCTTTGCAAAATTACTGTAACTAAATTATCCAGAGCTGATAGCCTTAAGTATAATAATACAACTTAATTTGCTCGCCAAATGAATTGCGGACTTCTAATATGTTGCTTTCTGTACTCTGCGGTGTTGTTAGTCCTTCTTATTGCTTACATGTACCCCGTGTATTAATGATATTGTATTTCTGGCATGTACCATATAAAGAGTGCAATATGCTCAAATGCTAAGTAATTGACAAGGCCCATCAGCTGAACGCTGGTGGTTTGACTTCAATTCCTGGAGAAAAGGCTGGTTCATGGCCATTTTTCCATGTTTAACATGAGTTAATTAATGCAGTAATCTACATACACATAATTTAAAACTATTTAAGCATATTTAAATGCATCTGTCACAATTCACAACAATATTCAAACCCGTTGGCATTTAAATACACCTAATAAAATGCATAGAAGTTTCTATATATATTAATGAATAAATTAATTTAAGTAACCCGAAAATTCAAAATAACTTGCATCAAATCAAAAAACACTACAAGTTTCCATACCTATGAAATAATACATTTTGCTGATTATTTTTTATTTTGCCTGCATTATTGGTGCATAATACAAACGCGCAGTACGTACCAACCATTATATTACATAAATTTAATTATATTTGAGAGGAAAAAAAAGAACGAATGAGTTTCCACAGTCGCGCACAAGCTTACAAAGCTTAAATCAATGCAAAAATCTATGTTGATCTGAGGAGAGAAAACTTCAGTGACGTCACAGCCAATAGACAGCGAGAACGCATTTTCTTTTGAATGAGTGCTAACCTCGTGAGTGCTAACCAAGTGAGCTAATCTCGAGAACAACCAAACGAAATATTTTTCTCATTTAGCAGACAAACTGAACTGAAGTGAAATGTTTGATGAAATCGTTTGAGAATTGTGGAAAACTAGTAGTTTATCAAATTTAATTTTTAGAAGACTTAGTTTCTCTAGCATAACTGTAGAAGAAAACAGAAGCGCAGGAAGGAAAATAGATTTCAGCCTTAAAAATTGTAAAAAGAATGATAAATTTATTTTTCTCTAACGGTAGAGCTTATGTTTGGAACCCAGATGGTACGTTTTAATCCTTTGATACGCGCGATATTATTTTTCTAGTGTTTTAACTGAAAACTCTAGAAATCGAGATCCTGGAGACAAATAACATATGAATTAAAAAAATCTACTCTCGCCCATTGATCTGGGGGTGGTCGTCTCGCTGTGAAACCAGCGCGCCTCTAGGACTTTGAAACTTACTGAGTTAGTAGGAAAAAATAACGTACCTTTTCCGTGATGAATGACAAAATTTGTGAATTAAAAAAAAAAAAAAAAAATGTGGTAAAATCCTAGTATACGGTGCAGCCTTGGCGCGATTTTGAAACTTATCGCCAACACCAAAAATGGCTCAAAGAACGTCTATGTATATACTATACACTATATATTATTACATAGTATATACTATGTATAACACATACTATGTATAACACAAATATACACATATCATCGTATATGTCCCGTTTTTACTGCTCATCATAAAGTCGCCAAAAGTAGCCAAATCCCGTGTGCACCGGATACTAGGATTAAACCAAAAGGTTTTTAAAAATTGCATTACATGTAAATTTTAACTTTATTTTACAAAGTAAATCATCAGAAAAAGTGAAGAATTAAACATTTATGTAATTATTCTACAGCAGTGAAAACATAAGAACGTACATACTAAGGAAATTCGGATAAATAGATTAAAAAAACTCAGTAATTTTATATATATGATTATACTGTATGAGGTTTCTCCATTGTGCTACAAAATGTACATCTCCAGAAATTGCCTTTTACTGGCATATGTTCTGTGTTAAATATTTTAAATTTGCCTAATAATATGCATTTTCATTTTATTTAAACGCCACAGCACTAGCATAGGAAGCAAGGATGTTGAGCTCAGAGAAAAATCTCTGAAACTGAAAGACTTTTTCTCTGGGCAGGTATTGTTTAGTAATAAAATAACTCTGTGATGTCAAAGCTCCTTATCTATATCCGGGTAGAAATAAACATTCCTATTTGAAAACAGCAAACACCATTGTAAAGAGCAGTGGTTTTAGGGCACAACCACTGAGCCTCTAGGGGATTGTGAGCATTGGTAACAGAATGATTCTCTAGTTGCTCAGTGGTCACGTCCTGAAAGCACAAAGCAAATGCCATTAATATACAGAGGTTGCTTGTATATGCAGTTTAATTATTGCTGTATTTTTATTGTTTATAATAGAAATAATGATATGTGATTAATAATTGAAATTTAAAGTTGTTTATATTAATAAAAGGAAGCTATTTTGTGTCACTGAAAATGAATTTTAAAAGGCATTGCTGAGACCTAAAAAATATTTGGTTCTGCAGTCGTTTTATGTTATTTAGGGGTAAAAGCTAAGTAATTAATCGGTTTTCATTCAAAAAGCTCAGAAAGAAGAATTGGAAAAAACTAGTAGTTTCAGGGTGTGACCGCCATGCATCAAAGGGTTTTAATTAACATAGACTATGGTTATACAACGTATTCTCAATTATTCTGGCTAAAGCACAAGCAGCAGATGACAGATAACTGGGAAAATGCAGATTATCTAAACTATCAATTTCCATGCATATTGTGTATGTTTATTTTTTTAAATAATCAGAAAATTTACTGGGTTAAGATATAAATATTAATTAATTACTGTGAGGAGATTTAAATATTTGTTGAATTTCACTGTTTATTTTTCGAAGTGCTATTTTAACACTGTATTTGAATCCTCTTTAATTGACGAAGTCCAGTAGAATATCGAGGTAAGTCATTGCTGTGTCATAACTAAAGCCACATCTCTCATACATTAAAATCGAATCGCTCGGTCGAATCGCCATCGAAAACTTCCTCGATATATATATTCCCGATTGACACTTTCAAAGAATTTTACATTTTCAGGTTTCTGATATACAACTTTAGTTATTGCATCAACTTCTTCACAGTTAGTTAAATCTTCAATCTGTGTATTAGAAGAATCCTTTTCCATGATGGAAACAGTGTTATTAGTTTTACTTTCGACCAAGCTTTTGTTACCCCACATATGACGTCCAATTCAGTGAACTCTTCCCAAAACTTCATTAAATCATCATCTTTCCCAAAACAAATAGTTTGAGGTAATCATTGAAACTAAAACTTAAAGATGCAGTTCAGAAGATTATAGGGCATAACTTGGACTCCAATTCAGTGAACTCTTCCCAAAACTTCATTAAATCATCATCTTTCCCAAAACAAATAGTTTGAGGTAATCATTGAAACTAAACCAAAGATGCAGTTAAGAAGATTATAGGGCATAACTTAGTAAAAATATGTCGATGTATACATGGATACCGAGTTTGTGCAGTTGTTTGTTTTGTTATTTTGGCTTTGTGTAGCGGCGATTTTTGGCGCAAAAATCTCCGCTTCGCAAGCCAAAATAACGAGTCAAAGAATTGCACAAAATTGGTATCCATGTACCGCCAAAAATCGCCAAGTTTCGCTAAAGGGTACTCTAAAATATACTTTTACCACATAATATTTTCAAACTGCTGGAAAGAATATAAGAAAGAGGTATTAAGAAATGCTGAACATTTCGACTGTGAATTACAGTTATAATTTTGTAGACCCTGAAACTGGATGCCATAGCCAAACTGTGGGGCAGTGCTAAATGAAGAAATAAAATTTCAACAGTGCACTGCTTGCTACCATTTCATATTTTAGGTTGTGTCGGTTATATTAAAAAACTTAATTAATTCTATAATATTGAATGATATTTGTAATTTTATGCCACCTGTTTAGATTGAATTTCCTTTCATTTTATTATTTTTATTTATTTGTAGAATATTCTTTATGCCACCTGTTTAGATTAAATTTTGTTTATTTGGTTATTACAGTCAAAAGTTGTTAATTCAGACACCCATAATCCGGAATGATCTATAAGTCAGACCTCAAAGCTACAAACTGACGCATGCGTGTAAGACCTTTCGGCTGCGAATATGCATGTGCGCATGCGCAAAATACATTTACGCATGCGCGGTTAATGTATAATGGATGGTATAAGCTAAGCTAAAATTATCTAATTCAGTTAATGTTGAAAATTGCATTGTTCCTTAATCTTCGAATTGGATCCGGCTTATTATTTTTTGTAGACTGTTAGAGCAATTTTATAAAAGTAAGCTTGAACTTTCGACTATATCAAATAGAATTTCCGATATGTATTTACTAATATGTAAAGGATCTACAAAGCGAAAGTATGTTTCGAAGTCCATTAAACAAAAGTGGAATTGCAACAAAAAATGACCTAACCATTCCAAAATCTGTTTTTAAATTTCACGCTGCTCTGCATCGGGAGAAACGCCGCGGTGCGCAATGAATTGGAAGTTGATCTGTCAGCACTATCCGTATCTTCAGGGCAGATGTTTTCATTTTATTTGGCTTATAATTCCTTACTAAATGTAGTATTTCATCTTGATGTATTCTGTCTTTGATATAATTTAAATCAAATTCCCCGTCATTATAATTTGCTTCCAATAGTGAAGAAAGTGATACAGAGGTTATTGAAAACGAAAAAATTTCGATTGACAAATTAGTCGGTATTCTTGTCCTATAATTGCTGTGTATTATAAGTCCTATAATTGCTGTGTAACGGAACTTAGTAACTGAAGAAGAAATTATGTCTGTTTATAGAATTAAAGAGAAAGTATTATCACATAAAACAAAGCAACTTAAACAACTTACATTGAGAGAAATGTTTAATAAAGTAAACAAATAAATATTAAGCTTTTTTTTGTAAATTTTGATACCCTTTAGATCATAATTGTTCTTTATTTCATATATTACGGTTTCATATTTTTAATTTTATAATTTCTGCATGCCATTCTACCAGATTTAAACTGATGATCTATAATCCAGAATCGCCGAAGTGTTGACGAGTCCGGATTAACGACTTTTGACTGTATTTATTTATGTGTAGACTACTCTAGATCGGCGATTCTCAACTGGTGATATGCAAGAGCAAAATATGTGATACACAAAGAAATAAAGTATTTTTAATGATTAAATTCAAAATTTAAGTACTCCAACATTTTTCTCTAACACATATAAATTTATGCAATGAGCTTTGTTCAAGTTCAATAGCCACTCATAGACTTCATATTCCTTTAGCCATAAACATAACAAAATTTGTCATAAATTATGTTTTTAAAAGTAGTAATAGAAATGAATGTTGTATTTAATAGGAAATAAAAATGGTAAAAATATATTTACGGGTGCCCCTTGGCGATTTTTGGCGGTAAATGAACAGAGTTTGTGCAGTTCCTTGACTTATTTATTTCGGCTTTGTGTAGCCAAAAATTGCTACTACAGAAAGCCAAAATAAAATAACAAGTCAAAGAATTGCACAAACTCAGTATCCATGTACACATCGACCTATTTTCACTTCAAGAAACATCAGAGAATTGCACAAACTTGGCATTGCGCACTCTGTTGACTGTCCGTGTACACATCACAGCCAATTTTACGCTACAGCCAAATAAAAAGTATGTAATCTCAATAAACTACATTTTATATCAAACAATGAAATAACATAAAAAAGGAAGTTCATCTTAGCACTATACAGAGGAAATATCCACTTACCTTATTTATAAATTTCAGCATCTTCAGTCAAACAGAATTCCTCAACAGCATCCAAAAACTGCCTAAAATTATATAAACTAGAATCTATAATGGCATCACCACATAAATTCACAAAAATAAGTGTAAAAAATATCCGTAGTGCAGGTATCCTTCGACTTTCGGCCATATGCATTTCCTTCGTACAAACAGGACACTTATAATGGTTACTAAGTAAGCCTTCATTTACACACTAGTCAATTAATGCTTCTTTTCCTCTTTCATTCAAAATCATAGAGAAACTTAAATTAATCATAGCACATTCAGCCATTTTACCGTCTAAACCAGAAAACAAGCAATGTACTTCCTAACCAACATACATGACAAGCCCTTACAAATTCCTCGCAATCATGCAGCCGATTACCTCATAATAGGGTTTCCATAA